TATTCCTATTAAACAGTGCCCCTTTACATATTTGGGATGCCCTATTATAAAGGGCAGAACAAGAATAAGGGACTTTGAGGAGGTTATTTTTAAGTTTAGGAAGAGGCTGGAAGGTTGGTATTCTAGAATGCTCTCTAATATGGCCAGGTTGGTTTTGGGTCAGTATGTGTTGAGTTTTGTGCCTATTCATTTGCTGGCATGCTTGAATTTGCCCAAAACTGTGTTGCATTAGCTGGATTCTCTAATGGCTCATTTTATTTGTCCAATAAAAGGGATGTTCATAAGAGGCATTGGGTGTCTTGGAATAAGGTGTCTATGCCTGAAGAGGAAGGTGGTTTAGGTTTGAGAAAATTTCAGGATATTCAGAAGGCTTTTAGAATGAAGTAAGTTTGGGGGTTAATACAGTGCTCTTCTTTATCGGCCCAAGTGTTTTCTACTAAATTTTTGAAAGGGAAGCATGTATTGAGGAATCTGGGAAAGAGTCACTTTAAATGTTGTGAAATGTTGAGGCCTTATTTTCAAAAGGTGATATTGCATTCTAAGGTAGTTGTAGGGAATGGAAATCACACTGATTTCTGGTGTGATAACTGGTTAGGGAGTGGACCTTTATTAACCAGGATTGAGGGTTATCCTCAGTCCTTTCCTAAGCTACCTGAACCTGTTTTGGATGCTCATTGGCATATTGGTGAGGTGGAAGAGCTATTATCAGTTCAGCTGGTACAGGAAACTTTGGATTCTGGTGTTTGTTTGAATGAGAACCTTGATAGGGTGGTTTGGCAGGAGTCAAGTTCTGGATGTTTTTCAGTCAAGTTTGCTTGGCAGGTGTGCAGACAGAGGGGAGAGAGGGATCTGACTGCTGGTATGATTTGGGCTGTCAGAACAGCTCCTAGTGCTCATTTGCTAGGATGGAAAATTTTGAAGGATGTTGTTGCTGTGGATTTGAATGTACAAAAGCTTGGCATCCCAATTGTTAGTAGATGTTCTCTTTGCTTTCAGCATTATGAGAGCTCTGAGCATTTATTTGTTGAATGCCCCTATGTTGATGCTATTTGGAGGAGACTGGCTGGTTTCTTAGGCTTTCAGTTGATTGAAAATGAATGTCCTTTGGTGAGATATAGGAGTTTGGTGAGGATTTTAAAGAAGCAATCTGTGGTTCATGGGATGACTAGAAGTGTGCCACTGCTGGTTTATTGGCAAATTTGGAAGGAAAGATGCAGGCGAGTGGCAGGGGAAGGTATGTTGAATTCCTACTCTATTTTTCTTAAAGTTTGTATTATCTTGAGATTTCAAGGGAGAAATGCGAGAGCTAAGGTGCAGGATTTGAGCAAGGACTTGAGTGTCTTGTGATGGCTCAGGGTCAATGTTTCTTTTCATATAGTAATAAGAGCTAAGTGGATCTATTGGGATAGGCCTGATAATGGATGGTTAAAGCTGAATGTTGATGGGGCCTCTAAAGATAACCCAGGGCCTCCTGGAGGAGGTGTGGTGTTGAGGGATGAATGGGAACCTGTGGTGTTAGTAGGTTCCTTTTATTATGGGGAGGTGTCTAACATGGTAGCTGAGTTTAGGGCTCTTCTGGATGGGCTTACCTTGATAAAAAACCATGGTTTGATGGGATGCAAAGTATTAATTGAATCTGATTCTCTTGTTCTGGTTAATGCTGTGTTGGGCAAGGGAGGTTGTGCTTGGTATTGTTTAAGAATGTTGGATCAAATAAAGGAGTTATTGGGATGTTTGGAGTATCAGTTGAGGCATATTTTTAGGGAATCAAATATGGTAGCAAATTACCTAGCTGATAAGGCAGTACTGGACATATGTTATTCTAATCTGCCTAGTGTTGTTTGTCTGCCTGCTGCAGTCAGATGAGTTTTGATGCAGGACAGTAGGGGACTCCCTGTGTTGCGTACTAGGAGGAAGTTGGTTTGTGACTATAAGGAAGATATTGGTATTGGATAGAACAGTTAAAATGCTTAGCTGGTGCAGTAAGGTGTTGTACTGCTATGCTGCACTGCTGTTGTGCTGCTTTGTTTGTTTTTGTTAAGCTGCTGAGCTATGATGCTGTTGTGCTGTATGTAGCTGTGCTGGGTTTCAAGGTCTAGTAGCTAAAGAGTTGCTTTTTTTGCTATTATTGCACTGCTATGTGCTATTGTCCTACACTGCTGATTTGAACTGTTGTGCAGCACTGTTTATTAAGCATCTGAGCTTTGGTGCTATTGTGATGAGATGCTGTTGTGCTGGAGATGTTTGGAGCTTTTTGCAGTCTCAAAGATCAATCTGTCCCTGTGCAATCCAAGCTGGGTTTTTCACTGATTTTTCAGTCAGTGGTTGTCTGCCATTAGCTGGAAGATTAATTTTACTCCAGGACCAGTTCAGTATGCCTAGATGAAAAGGATGTTTTGAACTGATGCTGCTGCAGGCTGTACAGAAGAAAATATTACAGTTCTTGACTGGTTTTGTAACAGAATTCTGTTATGAAACAGATTTTCTGTTTTTTGTGGCAGCTTTCTGTTTTTTTTGTTAAAACAGTTACTGTTTTTTGTATTCTTATAATTTTGAGATTCAATTAATAAAATTCCCTCTTTAAAATATATATATATATATAAACTTGTTCCAACATAACGAAAATTAATTGAGTAGCTAATGTTGCTGTTATCAAATTTTATTTTTGGTTAATAGAAAAAGCTCTGACACCGTGGTGAATTTTAATTTGAGCTATTGATTTTGATCATGATTTAGAATTATGGATTGAAAACTAATAAAATCACCTGACACGTTTCTTGGATAAAAAGTGAAAATATTGCATCGAAAAGTGACATTTAATTTAGAATAATGCTACACTGACTAAATTTTGGGACCAAATTAAGAGTCCAAATAATATGACAGCTGACTTGGGCTTTTTTATTTGGTATCATGTCATTTGGGCCCTAATAAAGACTCCAAATAATATACTGTCAAGTCATTTGAGTTCAAAATTTGGTCAACATTACTGTTTAATTTATGTAGCCTGACTGTTGTAGATTATTAACACCTTTTAGTTGTGGAGAAAATTGCAGTAATAAATGCAACCGGAGAATGAGAGACAGGTTGCAACTTGATTCACCAAACATGTTCATGTGTGCATGTCCCTTGGAATAAAAATAGCCACTGGTGTATTATTATGCTTGGAAATGTTTGATAAAACCTTGTTTTGGAATTGTGTCCTTGTAACGAACAGTTTTATACTATAAAACAGTAAAATTAAGATTTATCCCAATATCCAAGACAAAAAAATTGCGTATGCATTGTGAAATTGGCACATATTCCACTATTTTTAGACAATAGCATTATATTTCTTTTTATTTTTTTTTGGTTCAACGGTAAAGATATTTGAGTCAACTTACACGCATTTCGACTGATTCTCTTCCCGATCCGATCAAAGACAAATAATCTACTTCGAAACTAGAGTATTCATGGTGGTGGCATTATGTTTCACTGCCCCCCCCCCCTCCCCCAAGAACTTTGCATAGTGAAAATCTTTGTTGTAATTTCGCAGAAGCTTGTAAGCACAAAAAAATAGTTATATCCAATTTTTTGTTCATATCTTAGATATTTTTATGAAATAAAAATGGGGGATTTTCCATTGTCTGATTTCAATGAGTTAGACAAGGAAATTGGACAGTTCAAAAAATGGCAAAACTGCAATGATCAAAACCAAGTTGGACCTTCAACTCTTTACCAAATAATCTGGGAGTCCTCAAACTTCACAAACCTAATTCACCTCCCTATTGGATACTTTTCACATCCCAATTTATATAAAATAAATCAAGTTAAAGAAATCAAGTAGTTCATCACATCAATAGGCAAATATGCAAAAGCCAAAACTTGAAAATTTGTGTTTTGACAAAGCTAATTGATGACGGTCTACAATGTTCTCCTTCTGGAAGCAGCCTTCAAACACTATGGAGAACAATTTGAAAATTTTCAGAAGAGAATGATTGGAGATCTGGGTGAGAGATATGGTGTAGATATAGAGCGAGGGATTGACGAAAATTTTACTTGATATGGGAGGCTGTGGATCTTAGAGATAAGAAAAAGTTGGGCACAGTGAGAGATTCACACTATATAACAACACAAATTGGTGTTACGGCGTCATGGAATGATGTCTCAGACAACTCATCCCAATAGTTCGAGATTTCACCAAGTCGTCAACTACGAATCGAGTAAGACACATAGTTTACATGAAACAGGTATCAGTAGCTCCCCATACTTACTGAAACCATATACACACTGAATTATGCGGAAAGACATGCTTAGCGGACATGAAAGATCGAATAGAGTCTTTTATTACCATGGAACACTAACCGATAATCAAGCAGGGTTGGCACATTCTTTGAATGAGAGGGTATGAGACTTGATCAAGAATGCAAGCTCTTTGTAGGAATTCAAAGCGCTAAATGAATATCTGAGAGAAATTGCAAATTTGGTTATAAATGATATGAGTAATTTGCAATGATACTTTAAACCCCCCACCTATACAAATATAAAGCAGAAATCAAGCAAATGTATACAGTGGATAAAGATTGAACAAAATATTGTATATGTGATTCTAATAACAAAATTAGCTTAGAAAATATGTTTCTGTAAGTTGTAGAATATCTAAAACGCCATAAATCATACGGATGAGTCAAAAAAATAATCTCAACCAAAGTTCATCAGCTAGATAAATCTTTCCACAATGTTTTCCTTCCAGATTCTAACATGATAAAAAAAATCAAAATTTTACAACAAATTAAGAAAATGCATGATAAAACTGGCCAAGTTCAGATGCCCAATAACTCTAATGCATCATCTTTTTCTTTCACATCAATTTTCTATCATCTTTAGTTTTATTAAACTAAGTTTCTACATACATTACGGCAGAAAATAAGCAACCAATCAGTGGTAGGATAGTAGTCGTGCTTCAACGAATTCAAACAGCAGTCTTCGATGGTATGAACTCAAATATAGAAAAGATAAAACGCCTACGAATGCCACGATGTATGATCCCCTGAAACACCAAAAAAAATCAGCTTCGAATAAGTCACCCTGCCCTGATCGCGAAGTTGTTCGAGCTGATGGAAGTGCACTGCTGATGGTGCAACTTCTCTGTAGTGGCAGTCCACAAAGAAGAGGGTTGCCCTCGTAGCTGTTTTCTTCAAATGTTGCAAACTGTTTCTTCCTATCTGGTGTCCTGCCTGGTAAGTTATTGTAAGCCGCAGTGAAGACTGCTAAAAAGTCCAAATCTATCAACTCTGCGGGAATTTCACCACCCAACCTATTATAGGATAGGTCCAGACTTTCTATTTCCTTCAGGTTGGAAAATGTTTATGGGATTAACCCAGTTAAATCGTTGTATGACAGGTTTAGAGTAAGAATACCACTTAAGTCCCCCATTTCGATCAGGTGGAATTGGACCTGTGAATTTATTCCCTGATAGATCAATTCCGGAGAAGAAGTACAAAATGTTTCCGCTGTATGATTCGGACCTACTCTTTGTTATAAACTCCACTTCTTCCACCTCATCTGATACAATAAAGTCCGCCATGTTGTATGGGCTCACATCGAGTTGGCTTATGTATGAATACGTTCTGAAGGATCGATATGATGTCCACCCATATTCACGGGTGGCAAACGTATCATCGAAAGCTCTTTTCCCGTATGGTATCCTTTGCAAACAAGAAGGCATTGACCCTGAAAGATTGTTACAAGAAAGATCGATCAGGTTCATATTAGTGAGTTGACAAAGCTGAAAAGGAATGGGACCTTCAAGTATATTTCCTCTCAAAAGAAGAACCCTCAAATTTGACAGTAAGCTGATCCACCTAGGAATTCTTCCTGATAATTTGTTATCCCTCAAATCCAGTGTCACAAGGGATGAAGCTTTAGAGAGAGCATTCGGTATGGGTCCACTGAATTCATTTCCTTGTAAATGTAAACACCTCAATGATGATAGGTTTACACACGAAGGCATGGCACCAATAAAGCTGTTACTAGAAAGATCTAAGAAACTTAGTTGTTGAAGGTTGCAGAAGTTCATAGGTAAAGAGCCTTCTAAAGAATTTCTGGACATAATAAGGGACGATAAAGAGTGGAAGTGTCAATCCAGGCAGAAATATGGCCAGAAAGTGAGTTATTGCTTAAATCCAGCAATCCCAGGTTGGTGTTGTTCAGAAGTCCACTTGATATCTCTCCTGAGAAGCCATTGTTATCCAGAAACAAAGCAACTAGTCTCGTGAGATTGGATTTTGCTGGAAGTAATTGGCCTTGCAAATTATTGTTCGATAGCTTCAAAAATGTCAATGAGACGCACCCCAGGACCAAATGCTTTGGTAGTTGACCGGAGAAGTTATTATTTTACAAGTCCACCAAATCTAAACTTCTCATATCACCTAGTGAGGGAGGAATGCTACCTTGAAATTCATTTTTAGACATGTTCAGAAGCAGCAAATTTGGAAGGATGGAGCCAATAAAGAATGGGACCACACCTTGGATACGATTCATAAAGACATCAAACCAAAGCATATCAAGATTTTTTGAATCAGCATTCAACACAAGAGGACCGCTTAACAGATTATTTGCAAGACTAAGAAATTCTAGTCTTGTACTATTCACAAGTAACCAAGTTGGAATCTTTCCTACCAATCTGTTGTGGCTAAGATTAACTGCTCTCAAGTCATATTGATATAAAAGAAAGCTGGGCAGGTTGACTTGGCAATTGGATAAGCGCAAGATTTTCAACTGAAATAGAGGTCTCCAAGGTGGATTTTCTGTCTTTACCTTCAAATTGTTGTTATGGCTATCAAGCTCAAAGACCTCAAGTTTGGAGTCGTTTGCAAGTAAGCTGAATGAGAATGCACCTTCAAAATGGTTGTAAGAAAGGGAAACATACTCAATTGACTTGAGACTAGGAAAGAGAGTAGAGGGAATGGTTCCTGCAAAGTTATTCTCAGAAAGTTCAAGGAGCCGAAGGGATACCAAATTGCTGAGACATGAAGAAAGATTCCCTTCGAAACTGTTTCTGCTCAGATCCAACTCTTGGAGGTTCCTCAATTTGCACATGCCTGCGAAAGTGATAGTGCAAGTCATGCAATCATTCAATACGTAACTTGCTACATAATTTTAGAGAATGAAATATTTTTCTTGACTGTCTTCGCTTTTCACAGTTAATTAATCATGTTGATGGCTTAATATCACATATTGTTTCCTCGAAACTTATCAGAAAAGCTGCAGCAATGTCAACATGAGAGGGGAATAACAATGATGTTGTGAATGTCCTTGATACTCTTCCTTTAACTATTTGTTCTGCTTGTTTTTCAAAAAAAAAAGTATATATTTCAGGACTTTCATGATTTCATCATATATATCAAAGAGTCTAGCCTGGGAAAACATTCTAGTGATCTGACATGAATCCCAAGCACCATGACAGTGAAAAAGGGGAAAGTGGGAAAGGAAAGGAGTATTTACATTCCTCATCAATAAGAGTGATTACTCTAACAGTAATCAACATAAGTGGATTATTTTGTGTGCGCCTGTATGTTGCATAGATGGGTGCACATTTTTGTGTGCGTTTTATGGGGGAAGAGAAGGTATAGTATGAGATATACCAAAATAATGATCAATACAAAAGCAATAATAAATTGCAGCAATGCAAATGAATAAAACAGGAGATAACGGGATGAGGGTATATTTTTCAGAATTTATTTGGCTTTAAGTTCTACCTCCAAACTTATCATCCTTTAAGTCTTCTATTTCATGACTTATGTGTCAATAAGTACACTTTTTAAAATATTTTCAAATTTTTTTTGAAATGTATTCCATATTTTCCCCTACCGGAAATAGGTCATACATAATATACAACTTTTATATTTCCAATATCTAAATATTGGAATTGAGACTTTCAAGATTCCTTTTGATATTTGTGTATCATTTAAATTTTAAAATTTCAAAGTCATATTCTTCTCTTGTATCTTCTTCTTGGTTCAAGAAGCTGCTTTTGTATTCCTTCTTCACTAGTTCAAGCATTTATCTCATTGTATTTCTTCTTCACCGGTTCAAGCATTTCTCTCACATGTTCAAGAATATTCTTTACCAAACGAGACACGATAAGTATTCAAAATTCTGGCATTCAACATCTTCATGAAATTTTTGAAATTGTGGAGCATTAAATTTTATATTTTTTTATTTTATAATGTTGGAATTTTTCAGAATAAAATAAACATTAATTTTTGTTGGTCATTTAATATTTTCTATGTTTAATCTATTTTTCCATTCCGAAAAGATAAATGAAACTCTCATGCTAAAATGATTTGATTATTGGAACTAGTTTTTTTAAGCTTCTACCTCACTTTTTTCATGAAGAGTTTTGATTTTTATGGAATGGAATATGATTTACTGTTTAGTGTAACTCTTTCATTCAGCATCTGCATGAAAATTCCGAAATTGTGGAGCATTTTTTATTTTATTCTATTTGAATTTTTCAGAAACATGGAACATTAATTTTTGTTGGTCATTTAATATTTTCAATGTTTAATATCTTTTTCCATTCCGAAAAGATAAATGAAACTCTCATGCGAAAATGATTTGAAGATTGGAACTAATTTTTTTAAAGCTTCTATATCACTTTTTTCATGAAGAGTTTTGATTTTTTTGGAATCGAATATGATTTACTGTTTAGTGTTACTCTTTCATTCAGTATCTTCATGAAATTTCGGAAATTGTGGAGCATTTTTTATTTTATTCTGTTGGAATTTTTCAAAAACATGGAACATTAACTTTTGTTGGTCATGTAATATTTTCAATGTTTAATATCTTTTTCCATTCCGAAAAGATAAATGAAACTCTCATGCTAAAATGATTTGAAGATTGTAAATAGTTTTTTAAAGCTTCTACCTCACTTTTTTCATGGAGAGTTTTAATTTTTTGTAATCGAATGTAATTTACTGTTTAGTGTCAATATTTTGTTTTTTAATTTTTTTTTGGTCGTTGATGAAATTTGGAACATGCATTATCGTATATGGTTTACTATTTGTTGTCATTCTTTCGTTTTGAGAACCTGTTACTGATTTTCTGTTTATCACATATTTAAGGTCATGGAGGAAAAGATCATGCTATGTCTTGAGACGTTAGTTATGAAATGTTCAGTTCTATAAAGATTTGATTTCATTTTGCCATAGAGTTTGCGAGGTATGGGATGAGTTGAGAAATTTGGTTGTGCGTATATCATATTCAATTCCAGGTCATCCGAATTGTTCATTACGAAATGATGATGACTTGAAGATTATGTTTGAGTTAGTACATTTAATTAATGTCAATCATATTGAATTGATGGTGTATGTGTCTAATGATACTTCAATTGCTGTGGTTGATACTGAGTTGTTTGAAGATGTTAATATTGTTGAAGACGGAGTCGAATTTGAGGTTGATTTACTTCCTCGTTTTTGTTCACATACGGAGAAAGTTCTTTTAACATCTAGGTGGAAAAATGAAATCAAGTGTGAAGTCAGAAGTTTGAAGATGGTGTTACCCATATTCGAACTGCTCTATGCAAATATGCAGTTGAGGTTGGGTTTAATTTCAATTATGCGAAGAATTGTAAGACAAGAGTAGTTGCGGAATGTGCGTTGAAGTACGTTACAAGATGCGAGTGGCATTTAATTGCTACTCTTCAGAGGGTGAATGATTTCTTTTACATAAGGAAACTACAAAACCAACACACTTGTGGGTTAGCTCTACGCATAACCCAAAACAAGAGGATGTCTTCCAATTTGATTGCAAATCTAATTGTTGACAATGTCCATGAAAAGACAAACACTCGTCCAACTAAGGTGGTTAGCGATTTTCGTTTATTGTATGACCTTACAATATCATATGACCAAGCATTGTTAGGTGTGTAAAAAGCAAAAGCAATGTTTTTTGGGGATTATTCTTTGTCTTATGATCAATTACGTTGATATGTAAATGCGGTGAATAATAAAAATGCCGGTAGCCATATAGTGCTTGATTGTGATCAAATATCTAACCGATTCTATAGATTATTTGTATCATTGAAGGCATGCATTGATGGTTCAACTACTGTCGGCCTAATTTGTTTGTTGATGGAACCTTCCTTAAAGGAAAGTACAAAAGAAATATTCTTTCAGCCATTGGACAAGATGAAAATCAAGGTAAAATTTTGTTTGTATATGATGTTTTTGTATTATTAAACAGTTACTGTTTATTGTCTTTCTTTGTTTTTTGTTTTTGGTAATTGAATCTGTATACTATTACTGTTTATGTTTTTTTTGGGAAATTTTTTTGAATCTGTATGTTATTACTCTACTTGGCAGGCTTATTCCCTTTAGCCTATGTGGTGGTCGATTCAAAGAATGAGACTAATTGGCATTGATTCTTAAAACAATTGTCGGTGGTTTTGGATCCTGAACGAGTGCTTACATTTGTGTCTGACCGAAATGCTGGGTTGTTAGAAGCTATACCCAAGGTTTTTCCGAGGTGCCACCATGCTTTTTATTTGCAGCATTTGAAGGCAAACTTGAGGGACAAGTTTAGCGGGTCTCAATGTTCAAATGTCATGAGAAAGTATCTGATAAATTTGTTTTGTGAGGCCGCATATGCTCCAGCAATTGCAATATTTAATGAGAAGATTGAAGCTTTAAGACGTGAAGGTGGACCCAATGTGGACAAATTCTTGGAAAATCTTCCTTATGAAAACTGGGCAAATGCTCATTTTAAAGGTAAACATTATAGTGAGATGACCTCTAATGCAGTGGAGTCATTTAATTCTTAGATAATTAAGGCACGAAATTTACCAATCACAAGTATGGTGGACATTATACGGGGACAACTAATAAATCAGATGGGGTGCAGGTTGGCTACATCTCACACGTGGAATGAAAATTTATGTCCTGCTATGGAATCTAAATTACATATTGCATTTGTTTAAGGGGGATCTTGGTCTGTGAGGGTTTCAAGCAACGAAGTCTACGAAGTCAACTCATATCCTTCGGTTTCTGTTGACATTTAGAATGGAACGTGCACATGTTTTCAGTGGCAAATTAATGATTTTCCTTGTTCTCCTGTTGTAGCTACGATACGTAAAAGTGGGAGGAATATGAACAAGTTTGTGGATTATTATTATCATGTAAGCACATACAAGAAAACATATTCTCAAGCTATATTTCCTATCCCTACTATTTGTCGTCCAGATTTATCGATGGAGGAAGCAGAGATATTGCCGTCATTATCTAAGAAGCAACCTGGCAGACCAAAGAAGTGTAGATTAAGGTCACGTGGTAAACTTATTAAGCGAATTCGATGTAGCCGTTGTGGGCGGTTAGGAAGCCACAACAAAAAAACATGTAATGTAGCTTTGTGATTGGATTACTGTTTTAAATTAATGCTTTTCCAGTGTTCAATTAGTTTTGTTGATCAGAGTTTTTTTTTTCCTTTTTTTAATTGCATAAGAATTTATGTTCAAAAACAATAAAATTTATGACCAGAAAGAGTGTCAGCTAATAGTTAGTTATCCAACTAAAAGTAGTCCAATACAACTCATACAAAATAAGTGATACCACATATTAAAGTATATATTGTTATCAAATAGTGGACACAAAGATAAATATACAGGAGATAAAGATAAATATACACCAACCAGCGATGTCATATAATGCCCCCTTAATAGTGCCCGAGCAGTGTCAGTAAAAAGTGACAACAATAGATTGAACCTAAATGATGACAATATATATTACTCACTCAAAGACTTGCACCTAACGAGGGAGTCGAAAAATTGTCATGCAAACAGTATCACCAAAGAAAGACACAAGATATTGACAATAGGGGTCCAATCAATGGCATCATGTAATGCCCCCTTAATAATGCCCAAGTAGTGTCACTAAAGAGTGACAACAATAGATTGACAATAAATGATGACAGTATATATTGACCACTCAAACAGTTACACCAAAAGAGGGACTCAAAAAATTGTCATGCAAACAGTGTCACCAAAGAGGGACACGAGATAATGACAATGGGGGTCCAACCAATGACATCATGTAATGCCCCCT